ATTTAAACGTTTCATCTCCAGTGGGCAAAGTTGAATTTTTCTACGAAACATCTGCATACATATTATTTAAGTTAAATGTAGCACGTCGTCCGCTTATATTTTGTGGTGTGCAAAAGTTCAGCTGTTTAACCTGTTAAGCCGGCGGGGGCTTTTCATGAACAGGGTATAAGCAGGAATCCTGAAGTCAAATGTAATAACTTTTAAGACCCTTTCCATACATGTTAAGACCTCATCGCCACTTGGAGTTTTAACCGGTTACATTGGCGACACACTTTACCTCACATTTACTATATACAGTATTGATTGTCCTTCCTCCTTATCTTCCAACCATTTGGACGCAAACTTGCATTTCCCCATAACGACGATGTTGTTTAACAACCGGCGTAAACGGAGCTTCGCGCGCTATCAAGCAGTGAGCGTGCGATGTCCTGTTCAGATGACGTCACATCCAACGGGATGCCATAAATAAACTACACAGAATCACACTACACACCTACGCAATGATTACATTCAGGCAGACTGTAGAATACAACCTCTTTGGACAATTTATATACTTATTGAAAACAAGCTACAAAATGTAATACCTTGGAAAATGCCGTTTAATACTTTTTAATAGCCTTCATTTTCGCTAAATTGATTTATCAACTTTTAATACTTTTCAAGACCCCGCGGACACCCTGTGAATGTTGTTGTATTGTTGTGTTATTCTTGTATTGTTTTAAGTGTCGGACCCCAGGAAGAGTAGCTTTTGTCAAGAGCAAAAGCTAATGGGGATCCTAAATAAACATATCTAAGTACCAATTTGAGGTTTATTGACAGATTGATCTTTATTATTATTATTATTATTATTATTGTGTTTTGCATAAATAAAATGCTCACCAACAATAGGCTGACATGTACGGAAGAGGATTAAGGCCACATGAAAAAAGAAATGTGGGGATGTGAAAAAAAAATGTTTTGACCTTTTTATCAGAATTCTGACTTTTTTCCCAAAACAAAACAAATACTTTTTTTTTTCACATCCCCAAAAATATTCTTATTAATATTCATGTGGCCCTAATTCTCTTCCTTAGACGTGACATTATTATGGAAAAGAATAGACAGAAAACCAACAAAAATGACTTCACCTGAAGTATTCAGAAATGTACCTGCACAGTATTCTTTGTAACTTGAACAGTTCATAGATAACATTCATTCAACGCAGCAAATACCTTTTTCAAACATGTATATCTATTTTACACATTATGCCTTGTGTTCTTTCACAATGATAAAAGTAAAATCTTAAAAAAAAAAGAAAAGAAGAATAAGTTCATGTTTGTCTCTGCAGGTTTGTCTTCTTAACCCATCTTTATGTCCAAATCATGTCCATGTCTAAGTCCTGTTTAGTCGAAGCTCTGCAGGACGGGCTCGTGCCCCGTCTCCCGGAGGAAGCGCAGCAGGTCTTCGGGTCGCAGCCCCATGGTGGCGCTGTTGGTCATGGGGTGGAAGAAGACCCTCTCGTGACCCCCCTCCACCAGGTCCTGGTCCAGGACAAACTTCACACTGTGGTCTCGATCGAAGAGCAGAGCGAGGGCCGTCGCACAGCCCTGACCCACCTGAGAGGGAATCAAGACAGGAAGTAAAAAGCAGGGTTCTCAGCATACTGGGATTCCTAGATTGAACATGACAGGATGTGTGATTACCTAGAAGAGCATCAGGACTGTTTGAGGCATATGATAGCTATGTGATTAACATGATGATTCAGCCTCTATGGAGAGAGACATATGACAAGCATGATCATTTCTGACGTGGAGCTAATCTGAAGTAAACATTGAATACTGCTTTCTATTCCTCCATCTTGTGACTGTGTAACTCCCTCTCTTGGATATCAGCATGTGAAGGACACTGTTCAGGAACTAGTTGATGCTCTGTATGTGATGACTACTTCCATTCTGGAGAGGATCACAGATACATGGATCCTGAGATTCAAGCTCAAGCCGGGGACCAGGGAGATGTTTCTAACCTGAGGGAACGAGGAGTGGTAACATCCTGACTCATTTCCTGGTTTTAGGACTCATTCCTGCACCCCTCTTTACAGTCTGACCCCTGATAGTTCTCACCCCTCTTTACAGTCTGACCCCTGATAGTTCTCACCCCTCTTTACAGTCTGACCCCTGATAGTTCTCACCCCTCTTTACAGTCTGACCCCTGATAGTTCTCACCCTTCTTGTACAGTCTGACCCCTGATAGTTCTCACCCCTCTTTACAGTCTGACCCCTGATAGTTCTCACCCCTCTTTACAGCCTGACCCCTGATAGTTCTCACCCCTCTTTACAGTCTGACCCCTGATAGTTCTCACCCCTCTTTACAGTCTGACCCCTGATAGTTCTCACCCCTCTTTACAGTCTGACTCCTGATAGTTCTCACCCCTCTTTACAGTCTGACCCCTGATAGTTCTCACCCCTCTTTACAGTCTGACCCCTGATAGTTCTCACCCCTCTTTACAGTCTGACCCCTGATAGTTCTCACCCCTCTTTACAGTCTGACCCCTGATAGTTCTCACCCCTCTTTACAGTCTGACTCCTGATAGTTCTCACCCCTCTTTACAGTCTGACTCCTGATAGTTCTCACCCCTCTTTACAGTCTGACTCCTGATAGTTCTCACCCCTCTTTACAGTCTGACTCCTGATATTCTCCCCCTCTTACAGTCTGTTTACAGCC